CTGGCTCAAACAACACTGGCATCGTTGTGGTGACACTGCCTGTGTTTGCCCGACAAGGTACTCTGGCGGTCGTGCCCTTTGGTATGACTATGTCCCGTTTTATTGACTTAATTTCACAAAGGAAATCTGAATCGTTCGTTTCAATCAGGTTTACTAATTGTTTCGCATGTTCTTCTTTCAAATTTTCAAAACTACTGGTTAAACTCTGTACCAAACTGAGGTTCTTGGACTGGTTGTCATTGTCTTTGACTAATAATTCTATAACGTTGTAGCCAATGATTGGCTGATCTAAATGTTCCTCCGTCACTAGAAAAGGAACAGTTACTTCTTTCTCGTTTTCACCGTCTAGCCGAAATTTTGCTTCGACCCAACCTTTATAAGGTATTGTAGTTCCGTTAGCAGCGGTCAACTTAAGATCAGAATCCACTCCCAGTAACTCGTTAATATCCCGTATCTCCAAGTCAGGCAATTGTTGTTTCAAGACGTGTTCGGTAATTATAGAGACTTGAGCTCCAGTATCCCATAGGGCTGTTACTTTCAAATTATTTAGGCAACAGTTAACAGAACATTTTCTACCAACTAATCTTGCAACCGCAGCTTGCTGTTTAGGGGTTATATGACTAACAAAAACACTAGAGTCACAACTATCACCAAGTCCTTTGACATGTTCTCCCTGTGGCTTTGGTAAGCCCTGAATAGTTTTACAAAGTGATTGGTGGTCATTCCAATGTCTCTTCTGACATTCAGTCGAACAATAATATACCAACTTACAAGCGGAGCAACGTTTAAAATTTACATTTCTTTCTTCTTTCTGACAACAGTTACAATAGCGGGACGTGTTCTTTACTGAAGGGGCTACTCCCTGTCCCGCGGGGGTAGCCGACGGCCGTTTCCCGACCGACAGAAGCGTGCAGTATGGTTGGGTCCGCCACACTTAAAGCAATGGGAGCAATCCATTTGTTTGTTTTCGTAACACGATTTACATTGTCTGGGGTAAAAACTTCTGGGTCGCGACATGTTGTCACTTCTGGCTGCACCTTCAGCAGGAGGATGGTTACTGGGGTAGTCTTTGTCATCAACTTTCTTCTGGAGGCTTGCCACTTCCGATTGAACAGTGTTCAGTTCTGACTGTATGGCCTTGAGTGTAGCCAGGATCTGATTTTCCCGCTGGTTACTTGGATTGTTTTCCTTCGGTTCACCGCTGGCCCCAGCTTCCACTTTTGATATCTTTGTCGACGGTCTAACCGGTTTACCTTGTGTAAATTTGTTAGCTCGCTCCGATTCTGCCGACATAGCTAGGCTCATCGCTTCGATTAAATCTTCGTCAGCCACAGAAGGATTCTTTAACAGGGGTCTGATCTTTGCACGAATAGTCTCATCCGCTAGGCCAGTTTCGACAGCATGAAGGAATAGTCCTTGAACCAATTCTTCATCATACTTAATTTTACTGTCCGATTCCTGTGATGCAAAGACAATCTTTTGTCGAGTGGTCAAAGCGCGAATAAGGAACGACTGCGGGTCTTCCTTTGGTGATTGGCTAATATTCGCTAAGAGCTGGTATAACTCAGTGGCACTCTTCTCCTGAAAATGGAAACGGAGCATTTTACGCAGTTTTGGCAGTGTTAATCCACTCAGTCCCTCCAAGTAGCTGCGTAGTTGTAATCCAGCTTGAATGGAGCGAATAACTGCAGTAACTACTTCGGGCTCTGTATAGCCTTTCTTTAACCCGGTTTCGATCTGCGAGATTAACGACTGATAGGTCAATTTGTCTTTCTGTCCGGGTTCACCAATCTGACCTTGTATCTTAAACTCCCTTCGAAAAATACTTGCATTAAGACCAGACAGTTCAGTTTCACCACTGGTACTTGCTTTGGCTTCGGGCTTTTCGGTTGGTTTATTCGACAAGTTAGACTTTTTCTGGGCAAGTTCTAATAGTTGCATCTTCTGTTTTAATTCCTCTTGTGCCTTTGACAATTGTTCATATTGTGTCTCGAGTTCTACCAGTTCTTGTTTATTCTTCTCGGCTTTCTCTGTGTCTTCGTTACTTTTGTCTAAAGTTTGCTCATACAAAAGCGATTTAATTTTTTCCACTAGGTCTAAAAAACCGTTTTCTTCACACTCGCTGGCTTCGTCTTCAAAAGCAGTGCGAATAGTCTTAATCAGTTCGAATTTCCCTTTGCCTTCTGTTGTCTCAACTGTGAGCCACTTCATTTTTATACCAAAATCTTTTAAATCTGTTATATTTAAACCGAGTATACAAGACTGGAGTTCTATCATAACTTCTTCATCCATTTTGAACCCAATTCAATGAAATATCCAACAAATATTCGACAATAAACACTCTCAAATCTCAACGTTAATTTAAAATATACGCGTACCTTCGCTACATTTCTTCGATCAAAACATACGCCAAAAATCACTGTATTTCCATATTTTCGTCTCGGTGGGACCTCCAAAATGTTACTCGATACTACACACGATGTTTTATGACTTTTATCGTTTTATTGTGTATAGAATCGCTTCAAATATGTTTATAATACTAAGATATAATCTAGAATAACACTAGTTCAAAACGCAACGTTTCTCGAACGTATTCTGAGCACGCGAGGCGCGCCGCTGGTCGCTCGTACCAGTCTCTAAACTGTTCGCATATATTATCGTTCATTACGGTATCAACAGCATATAATTTCAGTCAATTCAGTGTATTATTAATATTGATTCCTTTTTTATTATATTGAATTATTTTACTAAAAAGAAAGCAAAGTTATTTGCATGCGAGAATTTGAAATCATTTTGTTGCAAACTCAAAGTTTATCGATAAAGCCATTTAATTAAAGCCAGGCAATTTAGTTTTATAAAGAACGTTTTAAAACGTTTTGCGAAGCTTTTGTGGTTGAATTTTACCTTAAATTGAAGCTTATATTACGTATAATAACATACCTAACAAATATATGTTGGGAAATTGATAATTTTGTAATTAAAATTGATATTTTTAAGCAATTTTTCATTTGTAAGAATATTCTTAAAAAATTATCGTGTTATTACCATGACAACAACTTTGGATACTTCATGTTTGGAAAATACAATGGTTTTGTCAGCAAGGCGAGGGTTTCTGCATGCATGTATTTTCTTTTTGGTTCTATTTGCTCGCAACAAAGATTGTGAAACCAACTACTTTCAATGATATATTTATTTTCTTACTTATAGTCTTATATATTACTCAATAATTAGCGTTTCTATAACTTTCCCTAATATATATATACTAGAAAATACATGCATGCAGAAACCCTCGCCTTGCTGACAAAACCATTGTATTTTCCAAACATGAAGTATCCAAAGTTGTTGTCACGATAATTTTTTATGAATATTCTTACAAATGAAAAATTGCCTAAAAATATCAATTTTAATTACAAAATTATCAATTTCCCAACATATATTTGTTAGGTATGTTATTATACGTAATATAAGCTTCAATTTAAGGTAAAATTCAACCACAAAAGCTTCGCAAAACGTTTTAAAACGTTCTTTATAAAACTAAATTGCCTGGCTTTAATTAAATGGCTTTATCGATAAACTTTGAGTTTGCAACAAAATGATTTCAAATTCTCGCATGCAAATAACTTTGCTTTCTTTTTAGTAAAAAAATTCAATATAATAAAAAAGGAATCAATATTAATAATACACTGAATTGACTGAAATTATATGCTGTCTTGTTTAGTTATTTCATATACGCAAAGGGCCAAAGGCCGTCGGGTTTTAAAGGAATTATAAAATCAATATTTAACACAAACTTACCTTCGTTAACGTCGGCTCCCTTCTTTTAGCCGATTCTTTCGCCGTTTCTATCTTGAAGTTTACAAAATCTTGCAAAAATGCGAGTAAAATTGAAGTATATTTGCAAGAAATTTATCAATCATCAAATCTGTGATCAAATCAAGAAATGTTTGCTATTTCGCTGTCGTCATACAGTCGTTATGATGCAAACTTTAAATTGAACCAATCAGTGTCCGCTATTCATGACAGTCCGCCATATTTTTGAGATCAGTGAGGATGACCACCCACTCAACACCGTTGGTCACCCACGCCCGCGATACTTGATGAACTTCAAAATGGCTTTTCTGAATGTAGTGAGTCTACCAAAAAATATAGATGAAATTAATTTTTCAATGACCAAAAAATTCATTGATCTGATTGCATTTAATGAAACACGACTTGATGCAAATATAACCGATAACATGATTAATCTAGATGGCTATGATATTGTCAGAAAAGACAGATCAAGAAACGGTGGTGGGGTTTGTATTTACTTGCGTAGCTCCATAAATTACAAAGTAAGAAATGATCTAGTTCCCACTGAACTCGAAGCTGTCTGTGTTGAAATTATTAAGCCGCATAGCAAACCATTTCTTGTTATCACAGTCTATAGACCACCCAGTGCATTATCAGAACTCTTTGATCATTTTGAAAAATTGATCCAAGCTGTTGATAATGAAAATAAAGAAATGTATATCCTGGGTGATCTGAACTGTAATATGCTAAAAACAAATAACGATTCAAATATTCCAACAAAGAAAATAAAATCACTATGAATTATACCAATTAACACAACTGATAGATGAAGCTACTCGAATAACTCCAACAACCACCAGTCTTATTGATCATATTGTTACTAATATGCCAGAGAAAATCTCTGATTCTGGTGTCATTCACACAGGTATTAGTGATCGTAGCTTAGTATTTGCAATCAGGAAAATTTCTATTGTTACAAAACAAGAAAATACTCTTGAAATTAGAAACATGAAAAATTTTGATGAAGGAAAATTTATTGAAGAACTGCTAAAACAACACTGGGA